GTACTGCCACTGGCAGGAGGGCACAGACCACAGCAGGCCTCCCAAACTCTCACTAAGGGCGGGGCTGCTTGAGCAAGGGAGACATCATCTCATCAAGGTGTGCCTGGGGCACATGGAAATGCCCACTCGCAACAGAATATTCTAGGCCAACATCCTCATATATCCATTTTGCATCCATGGAGCACAGTATCTAGAAGATAAATTTCTAGATTAGACAATGGGTATGTGCATCTTAAAAGCTGATACACACTGCCCAACTGCCCTTCAGAAAGGTTATACCAACTTGACACCTCCACCTCTTCACTTCCATCACCCACATCACCTCCCTCCTTACCAGCTAGATTCCAAGCTCCAATGTTCTTAATTCCTGCCTTGCACACACCCTTATTTCCCCTGCCCCTCAGTTCCTAAACTGGACTCATTTGTCACAAGTGCAGCCTTTATTAAGCCCAACTCCATATCTACTCGAAGCCTGTGCCCAAACAGCTGAACATAGCTGGACAAAACACACAAAAATCTTCCCTTGCAACATACGACCATAAATCTCCAGGGACACTGAAAACTGCCCTGAAACCAACCACATTTCCCTAATTAGTGGGCTGCCTTAGCCTGCAAGGTGGCTACCCCACTCTTTTTCCTATCTTCCCAGATTTCCAACACTCCTCCCACTCCTGTTCATTCCCCATTGACAACCTCACTGAAAAAACAGAAACTATCAGAAGAGATGGTTCTACCTCTACTTCCCAGGACAAATGTAGCAACCTACCTGCATCTAATATGCACACATCCTGCCTTTTCTCCTACGACAAAGGACGTACCAGGTGCCCAGTGCCTCTACTTGCCCATTCCATCCTGTGCTCTCTTGCCACCCATGTCTGTGCTCTCATCATTACCCCTGCTAACAGTTCTCAAACCAGCATCTCCACCCTGAGCTCCGATCTCACATACCCAACTGCTGACCCGGTAACACCACTTGGGGACTAATAAGTATCTCAAACCTGCCATGTCTAAAACAGGATTCGTAACTCTGTACCCTGCCTCCCACCCTATCATCCTCAGCTCAGTAAATGACGTCCTTCACCCTCTACCTTGCACAAAACCGAGGGACCATGTTTGCCTGACCCCTTCCCCCAGAGCCAATCTAACAATAAGTCTTGACTGTTCCTTCTTCAAAGTACATGAGGAATCCTACATTTCTCTCCACTCCACTGCTACCTCCAGAATCCCCCATCACCACTTACCCAGCCTACCACAGTGGTGTCCCAGATAGTCTGCCTATTTCCACTCTGGCCCTCCTACTGTCTATTCATAGCAGAACAGCCTGGGAAACCTTCTTAGAACATAACCAAACCTTGGCATTTCTCTGCTTGAAATCCCAGTAGCCTTCCCACACAGACTAAAATCTAAACTCCTCACCATACAGACAAGGCTCTAGTGCTCTGGCCACTCCCTCTCCTCAGCCTCATCTCCTACCAGTCTCTCCTTTCTGCTCACTCCAGAACACTGGCTTTCTGGCACTTCCTCAGTCAGGCCAAGATCATGCCTGCTTCAGGAATTTTGTACTCACTTTTCTCTCCTTCAGGAATGCTGTTGCTTTGGCTGAGCTCCTTCACATGATTCAGGCCTCAGATGTCCCCTCCCTAAAGAGGGCCCTCCAGACCAGACCACTCCATCTTAAACAGTGCGTACACTCCTCCATCAGCCTGCATTCCAGTATCCTACTTTATGCTTCTTCATGGCACTTAGCTCTACCTGAAATGATATTATCTACTCATGTAGATATCTTCTCCACTAGAATGGGAGCTAGATGAGCTAAGAATTGTGCCTGGCACAAAGAAGATATTTAATAAATATTTGTTGAGTTAACAAATATTACCTTTACAATAAAAATTAAGTTGATTGTTAAAATTTAACTCCATGAACAATTCCTACAATGTGAGTCAACTCTTGGCAGAGAAAGACTAGAAAAGAAGAAAACCTAGATGAAAGGAGTTACAATGGGATTTTTTTTAATTTACAACATCCTATTTTAGTGTTTTATATTAATAAAAACCAGTATCTTTTCTGCCCTAAATAAAAGGTAAGTGAGGATCTAGATATCCGTGCAAGAGGGTCACCACTCTAAACCTCACTTGTGAAAAAGAGAAAGGCGACTCCTGATGTCCGGGAGCCGGCCTGGCACTCACACCAAGGCGCTGGGGTTAAACGTGAACATCAACGCCAGACAAGGCCACTCTGCTACTGTGATGGATTCAAACAAAAACAAGACCACCCTGCAAGGTTATGTGAACACAGACAAAACATGAACACTGTCCACACCACAAAATACCAAACACCCTCCTCTCCCAGCTAATGAATGATTTCTTTCCCAATCTCAGCTTTGGCCCCACTTTAGCCTAACTCTCCCTACTGGTAAGATGTATTCAAATACTGAAGCACAGAACTGCCCATTTCTGACAGCATCTAATCAGACTAAACCATCTTTCCAACACCATCTCCCTGAGATGCTCTGCAGCTCCCTGTGGTGTGCAATCTCCCTCACTGCAATAAGAAAATAAGCCCGGCATGCTCAACGGAGCCCAAGGTGTGTCCCTGGTGATTCTGGGCTGGTGGGCACCGACAAGTGTCATGACAACAGATGCAATTACAGGCCATTGTACATGCAGAAGTCATAAGAGACCTAGCTGGAAAACTGACCCAAGGATATAATCTCTTGTTCTCTGAATACATTCCCTGACATGGGCTGATTTTCCTGTCATGTGCCTCCTTCTCCCAAAAGCTGAGTGAATTGGGGGGCGGGGGGAGGGGGTGGCAGTTAAATAAAATGTCCCGATGTTACAATTAATCAAGGACACCCTGCACAGCTTCCCTTCCCTCCCATATCTGAAAGTCACCCCAAGCACAGGGTTAGAGTGTGCTGGACCACTGACTCCTGGGCAGAGCCTGAGGCAACACTACTCAAGTACTTTAAGCCACATGTTCAAGCCCAATAAATTAGCCCAGGCTTAAAGAAGTCAGGCTGTACACATGTAAGAATTTTAATAAGCCTGGAAAATGCTACCTAGAGCTTATGCACGAGCTTACTGTACCAAGGGGATTCCCTGCCACCAGCCACAGAGTGCTAAGCCCCTGACAAGAGCTGTCAAGCACATGGGGCAGCAGGGACAGGGAGTCGGCGTGGTCCAGGTTTCCTCAGGAGTTGGAGACTCAGAGCAGAAGGCTGGCAGCCAGATGGATGGAGAGCAGAAAAGGGCATGGAGCTCAGCGGAGCCAACAGCATTTACTAGGAAAACATGTCGGAGGCTTCGTTCGTGGAAATCTGGTCGTCACACACCCTTCCAGAAACCAGCAAACACTGTAATCAATGTCTGCATTTATCAAATGCCTGTCTGTACCCAGTACTGTGTCAGGTACAATAGAGAGTTATTTAAGCAAACATGGTCTCTGCCTTCTAGATGCTGACACCTAATATAAACAAAAACAATAAATCTGTCCAGAGGATTACCAAACTAACTGAACAAACATGAAATAGTCAAAAGTACTGACCTTGTATAAACGCAGTGGAGTGAAAGCTGCAGGGTAAGTCATGGGAGATGACTCTCTAAAGAGGGTGGGGCCCTAATGGAACAGTTACCTTGTTAAGGCTGAGTCTCCAAGGGGGGAAGTCAGCTTTTAAGAAAAGCTGCAAGGGCTGGCTCTTGGGCTGGGGGAAAATGAGCCATTCAGAGAAGAGGGTGCAGCTTGGGGGTTGATTTAGAGACTGAAATACACGTACAGAGAGAAAGAAAACTTGACAAGCGTCCAAGAAAAGTAGGGGAAATCAGTCAAACAGGTGTATGTTTCTCAATCGCTTTTACTCTGGCCCTCTTCTGATAAACATAAAAAACTCACACTATCTTTTTTTTTTTTTTTAGCTTATTTATTTATTTAGAGAGAGGGAGCACAGAGCCAGATGCAGGGCTCAAACTCACAAACCGTGAAATCATGACCTGAGCTGAAATCAAGAGACGCTTAACCGACTGAGCCACCCAAGTGCTACCCATACTACCTTTTAATATTATTTAGAATTTGAAAGGATGGGAATGCAACCTGGTGCAGCCACTCTGGAAAACAGTATGGAGGTTCCTCAAAAAACTAAAAATAAAACTACCCTATGACCCAGCAACTGCACTACTAGGCATTTATCGACGGGATACAGGTGTGCTGTTTCGAAGGGACACATGCACCCCCGTGTTTATAGCAGCACTATCCACAACAGCCAAAGGATGGAAAGAGCCCAAATGTGCATCGATGGCTGAATGGATAAGGAAGATATGGTATATCTATACAATGGAGTATTACTCAGCAATCAAAAAGAATGAAATCTTGCCATTTGCAACTATGTGGATGGAACTGGAAAGTATTACGCTAACTGAAATTAGTCAGTCAAAGAAAGACAAAAATCATATGACTTCACTCACATGAGGTCTTTAAGAGACAAAACAGATGAACATAAGGGAAAGAAAACAAAAATAATATAAAAACAGGGAAGGGAACAAAACAGAAGAGACTCATAAACATGGAGAACAAAGAGAGGGTTACTGGAGGGGTTTTGGGAGAGGGGATGGGCTAAATGGGTAAGGGGCACTAAGGAATCTACTCCTGAAATTATTGTTGCACTATATGCTAACTAATTTGGATGTAAATTTTAAAAATTTTTTTAAATAAAAAGAATATGAAAGGAAACTATACATCCTAATCAACACCAACACAATGGTTTCAGAATCTGATTTTCCAAATGACAAAAACAATTCCCCTCCCATACATCTGAGAATCACCCGGTTAGATGATAGCACCTGTCAACAAGGACAGAGCAACTGCCATTGAATTCTTGAGGAAGAGAGGATCTGGACCCTGGATCCACATGGGACCCCAAACCAGTAGGATTAAAAAAAAAAAAAAAGCCACGGCCTAAGGTGACACAAACAGACGACGGACTAGCAAGAATATGTAATTATTACCTGATTAAAATTTTTGAAGGAGAACTCTTTGTAGATGGCATCTCTCTCATTTAATTCTGACCATCCTGCTGCTTTAAGGTCATGTATAACTTGGTTCCTCTCCTCTGCAGTCAAACAGTGAACATCTGCAGCCTATGAAAAGAACACATTTAATATCTGAAATGTAGAGGTTCAGTTTAACTACAATAAACTCAAAGCTCTTTACCTTATGGAGAGATATAGGAAAGCAAATCTTAAGGGCAACAATTTGTAACCACGTTTGGCTCCTCTGTTCTAAAAAATAGACAAAAACAAGGCTAACTATATATAAAATCAGCTGTCTCCATAGAATGTTGTCTCACCACACCTTTTTGTTGCCTCAAACTTCACAATTGTGTCTCTGGTTTATTACAGATACAACCATTAACCATTAACCACTGGTCGTCTTACCAATGACCATTACGGATGGCCAGCATTCGAGGATGTGGGAAACTCGGTAAGCACAGCCATGCAAGAAAACCCTGCAAGTCCATTGTCAGGTCCAGAATTAGAACTCAGGGCTCTAAACTCCAGGTCTACTGCTCTTTGGATGGTCCCATGTCACATTAGTAGCAGCCTTCACTGCTTACTCACATGGGTCTTAGCTCTCTGGGTTCACTATCCCCTTTCAGATCTGATGAAAAACTAACCTCCAGAGGGGAAAAAAATAAATGCACACTTAACACAGGATTTTGGATAATAACTTCTGGGAGTCCATAGATCCTCTGGATTATAGGTAAAAAGCCCTAGCCTAAGCAGAGTGAGTTTTTTCAGGGCACCAATAAAACAAATCCCTCCAGTCTGGCCAGAGCAGTGTCCAGTTTGGTCCTACTCACCCTGGTGATGAAATTCACAGACCCAGAGTTCTGTTGGTTAACAGGCCCACACTTCCCATGCTATCTGTTTTTTCATTGAAAGAACTCTAAACATCATGGCCAGAGAAAGAAGAGAAGGACACTCTAGTGGCAAGTCAGAGGAGCTTACTTCTCATTCCACCATAAATGCCGACCAATACCTCCTACCTTACCTAACTGCAGGGCTACTGATGGCTCAGGTGAGAGAGGCAATGTCACCCAGAAAGACAAAACTAATACAAGGACTCCTCATCAAACGGCAACTGGGGGCTGAGTTGAGCCCACTTTCAGAAATCCTGAAATCTTTTATCACTGACATTGATGTGATTAAGATGGCAAAGTAAACAAACTTACTTTAAGGTAACTTATTCTAGGGGTGCCTAATGGCTCAGTCGGTTAATCACCTGACTTTGGCTCAGGTCACGATCTCACAGATCATGAGTTCAAGCTTTGTGTCAGGCTCTGTGCTGACAGCTCAGAGACGGGAGCCTGCTTCAGATTCTGTCTCCCTCTCTTTCTACCCCTCCCCAACTCATACTTCATCTCTCTCTCTCTCTCTCTCTCTCTCAAATAAATAAACATTTAAAAAATGTTTTTAAAGGTAACTTATTCTAAGAAGAGAAAAAACGGTTGCTAATGAACTAATTTTCTTGTTTCTCTTCCTTGCTAGGTCAGCTATCCTTCCCCCAACTAACAAAAGAGAAAAAAATTTTAAGCTTTTAATTAAATACAAACATTTAAAGACTTATTATGAAATCCATTTACTATTAAGAACCAAAACATCTATTTATTAGTTTTACAGTGACCCACTATCGGAGATCATGTAAAAGTCTTATTAGTCACCTAAATATGTTGTCAAGTCAGATCATAATGGAAAAAAATTAAATGTTCTGTGTCCACACTGAGTAGCTGCAAAGAAAATTATTAACCATGCTGGAGGTAATGCAGCAGTCACCTGAAGTCAGTGGAACAGGCTGAGCTGTTTTTGTCCACATTCTCTGCCATGCACATCTCCAGTGAAGTCAGTGGTTTGCACTCTGCGCTCACCACAGGTGTCTGTGCAAGAAGAGGGACATGTCCAGGACTGTGAAATGGAACCACTTCATCTATAACACAGATGGTCCCCCTAGAGACACACCTTCTATAGAACCCTTTGTAGTGGACTTAATCTTTTTTTCTGCAGGAGATGGGGAGGACAGGGAAAAGCATAGGATTTGGAGAGAACACACTTGGGAGAGAACACACATAGGATTCGAGGCCTAGCTTTGTTCAGCTGGGATACTGAACAAATCACTTAGCTTTTCTGAATACTAGTATCCTCCTGTCTATGATGAGGATATTACAACATCTACGTGTCGACATTTTTTAAAGACTTAAGTGGAAGAAATCTTGATTGTGAAGGCACCCAGCATAGAGCCTAGCACGCGGCAGCCACTCAAATCATGTCTGTTTATTCATTCCTCTGAACCCCACAATTTTAATCATCAGCACTTTGGGAACAGGTAAGCCTCAGCCCACACTTAGGGGTCAGCACTCAACTTGTTTTCTCACCTTAATGGTCAGGAAACAGAGTGCTTATATTCCTCTATCATCGAGCTATTTTAAATTTCTCTGGTTAAACACCTTCAAACTGCCAAAGGGTTCTAACAAGCAAGCGAAGATGAAATGGCAAATTTAATGCAACATTCTCCCACTAGGTGGTGCTGCGTGTTAAAACTTGCCATCAAGTTAATTTACCCTAATACATTAATTTCTAACTCAAAAAAACTGACGGAACGCCGCGCGGAAGACGAAAGAGCAATAGACTTGTCACGACAAAAAAAAAAAAAAGATAATTTATTAATAATTCCTCCAAAAACATCACACCCAAACAAATGAGTTAACTCAGCGGGTTTCCGGCGAGCGCGCCCTGCCGGAGCCAGTTCCTGCTCTCAGCGAGCGCACAATCTAGCGGCACAGCGTCTTTCGTCATTTCAAGTGACTCTAAGCATCACATAGTTTTACAACTACTTTGCGTACTTTAACAAAACTCGTCCTCGGTTTTTGTTTTTTTTTGTTTTGTTTTGTTTGTTTTGTTTTTGTTTTCCGGACAGCAGTTTTCGTAGCCAACGACGGGATCTGTAAGCCAGGAGGAGACGATGGTGCCCCGCACCCGAACGCCTCCCCATCAAGGTCCGAGGCCTTGGAGGGTGGCCCGGGCCCGTCCCTCCGCCTCCGGCACCGCGGGCCCCGGCACTCACCTTGGCCGAGAAGCCTACCGCCCGGCCCCGCAGCATCGCGAACAGGAGTCGCAGCGGCCCCCGCGCCCACCGCGCCGCCGCCATAGCCACGGGTCGAGGGCTGCCCGGCGCGCTGCCTGCGCGCCGTCCGCTGGCGTCCGCGGGGCCCGGCTGGGAGCCGAGGACAGTGCGGAGGGCCCTCAGCCGCCGGTCAGGCCGTCCCGCGGGGCCCCGCGCGGCCAGCCCCGGAAGGCCCCCGGGAGCTCCGAGGCCGCAGATGGCGCTGGCAGCCGACCGGCCGGTGCGGCAGGCCCCCGCAGGCCCTCGCGCTCTCAGGTCCCGCTCCGCGCCCGTCGCTTGGTGCTTGCACGGGATTCGTCTCGCTCCCGTGCGGCAGAGTGGGCCGGCTAGCTTGCGCGCCGCGTTGCGTTGGGCGCTCAGGTGTGACCTCCGGATCGGCTCTTCGGCGTCCGCCCCGCTGGCCGCACACTCACGGACAGCCTGTGCCGAGCTCCCTCCTGGGCGGTGAGGCGAAGAGCCAGCGCCGGCGGCAGGACGTCGCGGGCGGGGACAGGAGGCGATGAGCTGCGGGTGGGTGCTCGGGCAACGCTCCACTTGCTGCTCGCGGAGGGCCAGGAACCATAGTGGTTCCGAACCGGGCTTGTAAGGTAGGGAGCCGAGGCTGCGAACGTAAACCCTGCTGTGTCTTTTTCCCTAGCTGCTGAGGCCTTGGCACGCTGGCTCCTCTCTGCTGGCCCAGATACGACAATCTGGAAACCTGGCTCTTAGTGCTCTCTAAAAAATAGCTCATAGTAGGCACTCCAGGTATGTAGTAGATAGATTTACTAATTATTATTTGGGGGGGGGGGGTATTCTTTTACATAGGTATTTGCTAATATTTTCTTATTCCTTTTTCATGGCCTTTTTAAGTTTGTTTATTTTGAGACAGCACACGGGGGCGGGGCAGAGAGAGGGAGAGACAGCGAATCCCAAGCAGGGTCCGCACTGGCGGAGCCCGATGCGGGGCTCAAATTCACAAACTGAGATGATGACCTGAGCTTAAATCAAGAGTCAGACGCTTACCCAACTGAGCCACCCAGTCGCCCCAGTTGGCTTTTTTTTTTTTTAATGTAATAGCACGTATCATAAAATTCACCTTTTAAAAGCGTACAATTCACTGGTTTTTAGTATATTCACTTGTACCTTTTTTTACCAGTTTAAGCAAATTAATCAGTTTTGCATAGGATTTAGCAATATATGAGAGTCCAATCAGTTCAACTTAGCAGTCGCTAGCAGTTATAGTTCCCAATATGGAGTTGTGGGGAAAAGACTTTTTGCCTTAAAATATGCTAAAATTAAGACTTCTTCCACAACCCACCTTTTTAGCTTTTGCCCACTTGACAAAAACTCAAGGGAGGAATCTCCAGACCCTGATCAAATACCACTGGTCTCAAGACATTCATCTAAGACACCCAGGATTCCTTTGCCTGATGTCTCAGGTGGGCAGAGACTGGGGATGGAATTGAAAGTTGCATTTTATTTCCAGTACCTAATTGGGGGAATACAATACAAGTTTGTATTCTACAAATTTGCTTATTAAAGTGAGAACTGCAAAATGAAACTGGTAGGTGTGAGGTAACAAGAGAGTCCTCATCATTTTTCTTCCCTAAATCCACTGTAGGAAACTGTGGCATCTCGGGTCTAGTTATGAAAAGCAGCAGTAGTAATGCCAGTAGGACCCAGAGGAAGTGATGTCTACCAGTAGTGGCTGTGAATACTCTGCCTTCTTGTGTAGGTTTCCAATTAGTAGGATTTAAGTTCTTTAGCAAAAATTGAGCACTTCCTGTATAGTGGACACTCTTGGGAAAGGCAGTCTCCTCCTCACAGTCCTTTAAGCCCTACTCAACTAAATAAGAATGGGCCTTGGGCCTAGAATACTTGCTTACCAATAGTCCTAAAGAGCCTATGTAGCCTGGTCTGGGCTTATCACCTTATGTGGGAATATCCTTCCCTGTGCCAGACTCGGTATGTAACCCTTTGTTCAGATTAAGCACTAAGTCAAATATCCCTGGGGCATGCTCCCCCACCCCGTTTCAGTATTTCACACTCCATGGGTAGGGGTGACTTGTGCTTAGGCACTAGAGTGGCACTCAGGCCTTTGGCTGCTGTGGAGGACCAAGGCACACTACTGGAGCTGATCTTGGCTGTGTCTCTTCTGTGAGTAAAAATGCTGTTCATCCAGTGCTTGTGTTGTGTTTTCCTTGGCAACCGATACTACATAGTAGGCAGAAGTGTTTGGACTTCTGTCCCTGATGACTAGCATGATCTTTGCGGTCTTCCATGTAGTTGAATCACGGCCCTCCCCATCCCTGGCATGAGTACCAGTGCACTGTGTTCTGCTAGACAGATACTATGTTTGGCTAGGGTGGTTTAGTAACTCTTGGACCTTCCTTCCTGCCTTCTGCTTCCCTTTCCTTCAGTACCATTGCCTCCCAACTGATCTCTCTACGCTTGAACCTCCTGTCTAGGGAACAGCCCTGCTCCAATTTCCCTTCAAGGCAAACCCAGAAAGATTGTCTCAGCTAAGTACTAGAAGCAAAGCCATGGATCCTTTAGTCATCCTAAGAGCCTTTCCTCAAACTCCAGACTAGAGTAGGGGCCCCTTACATTTCAAAGGTATGAAAATACCTGTATCTTTGATAATCTCCAATCTGGCAGTGTGCCCCTAAGGAATTGAGACAATACACAACCATTAAGAAAAAAAAGTTAAGTAATGCTGAATCTACTCAAAGACCTATTAAGTAATCATGGTTAGGAAAACTACTTGCAACAGTGAAATATTTATTTGTTAAGCAAAACAAAATAAAAAGACCAAAGTGCTAAGTGATGGCTATACTGTAACTATAACTATGGGAAGCAAAGGGGAAAAATGAGAGGGAAATGTATTATGATGGTCCCTCAGGCCACGGCATAGAGGCAGGGCAAGGTCCCAGCCCACCAGAGGCTCCTCCAGTCAGCATGCTTAGGTTTGAAGCTGGGTCCCACCACTGGAAGCTGCCTGACCAAGAGAAGTTACTTGAGGCCTCATTTATTACCCTTATGTAAAATAAGGAAATGTAATACTAGTGTCAGTCTCCTAGAGCTCCTATACCAGTAAACAAAACAGAGTATGTAAAGCACGTAAAATAGTACCTGGAACACACATAGTAATACTCGAGTGTTAGTTGTTATAAAAGATGGAATCACTAGAAGTTCTTCTTAAATTCTTAAGTATACATACACATACATGTAAAGGTTCAAATCTCAGCTTCAACAACTTACTATGTGTGTAACCTGGGCAAGTTACTCAATCTCTTTCTATGCCTCAGTGTGTTTATTTGTGAAATGAAAATCATAATGGTACTGTTCTGAACCAGTGTCCTCTCCTGTGAGTGACCACTCCAGCCATAGCTGTCCACAATATAAAGTTATACATAAACTCCTGTCCAGTGTAACATTCTGAAAGGTGACTCACCTACGGTTCCACTTCCATAGAATGTAGGGTGCATTAGAAAATGAAATACTCTATAACACTGTAAACAGTATAATAGTTAATTATCATTTTGTAGTTAGATGTCATGTCTGAATTTAAGGGATCTTTTAGAAGGAGCTTTCCAAAACGTTGGAATAAATTGTGTGTTCTCTCTTTTCTACATGTGATCTACACTAGAATAGAATCAACTTGTGGGCAAGAACAGTGTTAGATATTTCTTATGGCTCTCACTAAAACTAGCACAGTGCTAAGAACATATTAAGGTTCAGTTAATGCATGCCGGTTAGGGAATTGTGACTAAAATTTGAGTTATGCTTTAGCCTAGAACTGACAATAAATAAGCTTTAGTTAGGTAACAACATTTACTTTCTCCTAACATCTGCCTTATCCAGAAACAGCTTAAAGCACTTCATATTCTTTCGGTGAAATGAGAGATCACAAACACCAAAGCAGTTGACTCTTCCATTTTCCCAACAGTTACTCAGAAGGTCACACTTACCGATTCTACTTATTCTTCCTAACAGAACACTTTCCTGATTACAGATTGAGAGCAAAATTGCAAATGAAAAGAAAAACAACCTTCTTAGACATTTATTTAAGGAATCAAGAGTTTTCTAAAACTGTAACGTGTACTGTCATTCTACTCACCATACCACCTGAACACAGCTTTGCATTTCAAACTGGATTACTCTCTTAAAATATTGGATTATTAAAAACAACAATAGTGAACTCTACCGAGTATTTTTGCATTTGCTTATTGCAGTATTAATTAAAACAATTTATAATTTTTAACACATTTAACAGTTCAACAAATGCATGATTCTTTTAATCTGCCTGAAGTTGTAAGAGGACACTTCACTGGAGAAAATGTATGAAAGTGCAGCATTAATTTCTGAAATTCCTCATCCGACTTCTGCTTTTAGTCCATCACTACTCCGCATGCTCCTGCTCTTGTCCTGGAATGAGCCACCGGATGCTCTCAGTTCGAATGGTAGCATACATAATAAAACTAATTAAAAAGAATAAGGAAAATACAAGCAGCCAGTCCACACTTTTTATCAAAGTGCTGGGAAGAGGGCCTATTTGGTCAGCTTGAGTTACCACCACATTTTTCTTGGCTTCTATACCTGAAAGAGAAATCAGCTGTTTCAAATCAGATAGAAAGCACACCGCTATAGATCTTTCTGAAGTATTTTGCATGGCATGCAAAAAGATATGCAGTCTTAAAATAAACACTACCACTAGTATATCTGGGATGGGTTTCATTTGCCTGTTGGTATAATTTGTACCTTGCCTTTCTCCCACCACATCAAAGAAACAGGAACCCATTCAGCAGTTCAAAGCCTAAACACTCGAATGACTGTGAACTCCTCAGAAGGGTCTTAGTGCATTGTAAGAGCTGTATTTTCTTTTTTGAGACCAAAATTCAACAAGTAACTGGTAGAGCTACTCTCAGGGACCTACAGAATGTTTTCACAGGTTCAGGAATGCTAAATCCAAAAAGTTTTTTTTTTAATTTTCTTTTTTTTAATTTTTGAAAGAGACAGAGCACAAGTGGGGGAGGAGCAGAGAG